TCGAACCGCGGTCCCTGTGCTTTGCCAAGCTTGCTTCAAGTAGGTGCTTTAGACCACTGAGCCATCTCTCCAGCCCCAGGAGCACTTTTTAGAAATAAAGGTGGAGCACGGGTCTTTCTAGGAGCTGGCTGGGCCGGAGAAGGAGTTCTGTGAGAAAGGAGCCCATCTCTGCATCCTGTTGGAGTTAGGTATTCAAAGAAGCCTGCTGGGAAGGTAGTGCAGGTCTGTCACCCAAACACTCGGGAGGCTGAGACAGGAGGACTGCTCTAAATTCAAGGCCGGTTTGGTCTACATGGAGAGCGTGAGGTCAGTCTGGACAACAGTGAGACCTTGTCCCGAAGAAGTAAGTGCACGCATGCATGAGCGAGTTTGCTTAGCTCAGGTGCAAAACGTGACGCAAGGCTGAAGCCCTCTGCCCTTGCCTGTGACAGAAGTGTCCCACTTGGAAAGGAGGGGTCATTAAGGCCAGCTGAGCCTCCAGCAACCTTTTAAGTTCAGAGGTTAAAGACTCCAGTGGCCAAGGGACCTGGCATGTGAGCAAGTGCTTGGAGGGGACCACGCAGAATGTCAGTGACCCCGAGCACTGTAGGCCGCTCTGAAATGGGAGCTGCTTCCCTTGGGCACCTGAGCCTCTTGTCACTAATCTGATTTTTCAAAAGGAATCAGTCATTTGTTTGTAAAATCAACCAATTTTGCATCAGGGTCTCGCTGTGCAGTTCAGGCTGCCCTTCTATTTATTATGAGGAGAAAAAAAAAAAAAGATTTATTATGGAGCCGTTATGTGACCTCAAACTCAAAGCAGTCCTCCCTCCTGGGGATTTGCAAGCATGTACCACTACACACAGCTAAAATCAACCAATTTTTAAATGCCAGGGATGGTGGCTTATGTATGTAATCCTGGGTAATTTAGGGACTTAGCAAAATCTTATCTGAAAAAATAAAATTTTAAAAGTCTGGGAGTGGGGCCGGAGAGATGGCTCAGTGGAATAAGCACTTCCCTGGCAAACTCAAGGGCCTGAGTTCAATCCACAACAACAACAACAACCAAAAAAAGGCTGTGAGTGCAGCCCAGTGCAAAGGCCTGGGTTCAGTCTCTACAAAACAAGTGTTGCCAGCCAGGGTGGCACACACCTGTAATCCCAGTACTGGAGAGGCTGAGGCAGGAGGATGGTTGAGTTTGAGGCCAGCCTGAACTATCCTGTGTCAAAGAAAAAAAAATTCAAATTGTTTTGTTAACAACAAAAGGCTAAAGAAAAGCCATTAAAGAGCCCATTCAGTGACACCATCTGGATGTGGTGGTGCACGCCTGGAATCCCTGAACTCAGGAGACTAAGGCAGGCGGACTGCTGCATGTTTGAGGCCAGCCTTGGTACTGGGTGAGTTAAAGACCAGCCTGAACTTCCTATCTTTTTTTGTCTCTAAAAAAAACAAAAGAAAAGGGCTGGGGAGATAACTCAGTGCTAAGTGCCAGGTCTAAGTGCCTGGCTGGCAAGTGCAAGAACCCGGGTTTGATCCCTGGTATTGCATGCCATGCCAGCCCTGGAACAGCAGGCACACAGTGCTGGCCACCTAAGCCAGGCATGGTGGCACACGCCTGTAATCCCAGTGCTGGGGAGGCTGAGACAGGAGGATGACTATGAGCCTGAA